TGGAGGTTATGATAATTTGAAGATAGGAAGATTCTGTGTTTTAAAGATTTAATGTTTCCTAATTAATAGGTTTGTAATCCCATTTGATATCCTCTTAAGATTTTAAGTTGGAATTGATGAAATAATACTTGAGCTAGTTCTAGAGGGAACTATTTTCCTAGATTAAAGGGCTACAAAATTAGCAAAATTAAAATAGTGTAGGATTGGTATCAGGATCAATCATCATGTCAGGATAAGTCATCATAATAGACTCTAATGGACTCAATATATGGTAAAAGAATATCATAGGAAGATGGAATATTCAACAAAAGGCTTTGGAGAAATTGTTTATCTGGAGGGAAAAAGTTAGATTTTCCCATCATGCCATTGACCAAAATGCATTCCAAATAGATTAAGATGTTAAATACAAAAAACAAAGGGAGTCATCTAGCTTATAGATGAATATTTAACTCTACACAAGGTGTATTCAAGTATAAAATCAGTAGAAAAAGTAATAAAGGGAAAGATTTAAAAATTGACCATTTTAACAATGTTAACAAATGTGGCATTTTTATATCTATTTTTTCTTTTTCAGTGAACTGGAAGAATCTCTACTTGTGCTGCCTTTTTCTTATGTCCCAGACATTCTTAAACTCTTTAACGAATTCATTCAGCTGGGCTCTGATGTTGAACTTATATGCAGGTGCCTCTTCTTCCTCCTCAGGTAACATCCTTTTCCAAAGAATACCATGTCTTTTCAGCAGAACTGCTTCAGTAGTACCTTAACTGAAGCTGTCAACACTTGGAGATTAAGAAATAGTATGCCAAACTCGGTGGCTCACCCTTGTAATCCCAGCACTTTGGGAGGCCGAGGTGGGTGGATTGCTTGAGCCTAGGAGTTTGCTACCAGCCTAAGCAATCAGTCTTGCCTTTAAAACAAGGATCATGATGACCCACCTCTTTAAGTAAGAAGTCATGGTAATACATTGCTCAGGAATCCTTACTCAGTCATAGGCCTCTGTGTTACAATCTAAGATAGCTTTGGTTCTAGTCAGTTTAGCAAAAGCCAATTACGATTGGCCAATTTGCCTCATTTGTTGTTTATTTGAAGCCAAGCTTGTCTAACCTGTGGCCCGCAGGCCACATGTGGCCCAGTATGGCTTTGAATGTGGCCCAATGCAAATTTGTAAACTTTATTAAAACATTATGATTTTTTTTATGATTTCTTTGTTGTTGTTGTTCATCAGCTATCATTAGTGTATTTTATGTGTGGCCCGAGACAATTCTTCCAATGTGGCCCAGGGGAGCCAAAAGGGTGGACATTCCTGTTTTAAAGTGTTTAGTGTAAGCTAACAGGTTTTGCTTTGTCCTTATACCAACATTTTAAGGAAGTCAGTTTATTTATCTTGGTCTCTACAGGTGCAAATGGAAATGTAGGGGCATATATAGAGGTAAACTAAGAAACATAAAGCAAATATGTTCATTAGGTTTTATTCTTAAATATGAAGAATTCTGTTAATAGGTAGTTGAGAAGAATAGATGTACAAATACTTGATATTCTTCTCATCTCTCACCCTCATTCTCAAGCTGTTACAGCAGAGAACAGAGATGGAGACAAATTGAATATTCCTTCAAATACTGTTATGAAGACAAAAACTGGTCAGCCAATGCCAGATAGTTAAACAGGTATATTTAGTGAATTGACCAAATAGGTATTTGGTGAATTGGCCTGGTTTTATGATTCTTAACCCTCCATTTCTTATACTCTATCCAGGATAGTAGCAAGAAAAGAAGAAGAGTATGTTTTGTTGCCATATTCATAATTTGGGGCAAGTTGTAAAGACATAACTTCATATTTAACCATATTACTAATAATTTCTTTTACTGCTATGGCATATGTGCTATTGAATTAGGGTTGCTGGTTCTACAAGAAACCCTGAATACTTATAGCGTATCAGAGGGTTATAGATGGGTGCTACCTGACAGGTACAGCAGGGTCATCAAGGATATCTTGGTACTCTGGGTCAGAGTTTGAATCTCTCATGAATGTCTCTCTTTTTTGCTGTGGCTTTATTAGAAGTATTAATGCAACTTTTTTGCGTTAGCATTTCTTAGAAGGCTCATTCTGTCTTTGAGTTTTCCATAAAGTACCACTCAAAATCTGTAGCCACTGGCAAGTTGCTGGGCTGGGAAAAGAGCCTTTGCAAATGAGTTGAATGTGTCATAAGGTTTAGGACAGTATTTTTTAAGTTATCATCAAATTGACCTGAATAGTAGAGAAAGAAATTTCTTTGGCTTTTTTTTTTTTGCTCGAAACATTTCTATAATGTATATTTTGTTGTTGCTTTGATATTTTATCTGTTTACTGTGTCTAGCCATGTTAGGTTCAACATGACTGACTGTGTTTTGTTTTTCTATTAGGATTCACTTTGGACAGATCACTAGCAATCAAATGCTTGTGCCAGTGATAGAAAAATTAAGGGAAACAACTATTTCAAAAGTCAGCCAAGTCCGGGTAAGTGTCTTTGTATAGAGATAAAATAATGAGGCAAATTCCTAGTGTGATTTAGAAGTAGTATAGTATTGCTGGCCGGGCGCGGTGGCTCAAGCCTATATAATCCCAGCACTTTGGGAGGCCGAGATGGGCGGATCACGAGGTCAGGAGATCGAGACCATCCTGGCTAACACGGTGAAACCCCGTCTCTACTAAAAAATACAAAAAACTAGCCGGGTCAGGTGGCGGGCGCCTGTAGTCCCAGCTACACGGGAGGCTGAGGCAGGAGAATGGCATAAACTCGGGAGGCAGAGCTTGCAGTGAGCTGAGATCCGGCCACTGCACTCCAGCCTGGACAACAGAGTGAGACTCCGTCTCAAAAAAAAAAAAAAAAAAAAAAGGAAGTAGTATAGTCTTGCTGTGCTTTGTCTTTAGCAGTACCTACCACCGATAAATTCATATTTGAGATAGTTTTCATTGGAATTAGTAGGAATAGAAAAAACAAACAAGAAAAGTTCTTAATGAGGGAAAGATAAGTAACAACACCTGAAGCTTTGGTTCCCCTAACTCTCATACGCTGCTGTGATGAACTGAAGTGGGAGAAAAATTTTTAATATTTCTTGTATTGCACTCCAGGATGTTATCGGCTTCAATATGGCTGGTCTTGATTATCTCAAGAGGGAATGCGAGGCAAAAAGTGAAGTTATGTTTTTTGCTGATGCTACTAGCCACTTGGAAGAGAAGAAGAGGAAGAGGAAAAAGAGGGAGAAGCTGATTCTAACATTGACTTAGAAGTGAAATGTGGTGGTTTTTTTTTAAACTTTTTCCTTAAAAGGACTCCTAAACTAAGCACAGAAGAGTTGGCGTCATCTTAAAAATACCAAATAACAGAAAATCACATTGCAGACGATGTCAGGATGTGGTTCCCAACTTTGCCTGGGGGAATTCCAACATGAGATTATGGGCTGGCTCCATTTCTTGGACTTAAAATGCATGATTAGTTTAAAAATCTTTCTGTGCTCTCAAAGCTTGAGCCTTGCAGCTCAAGCTTGTTCCCTTTATATTCTAGCAGGGAATAAGTAATTGTTTTAATTAGGTATATGTTTCATTGGAGTTGAAATTAACATTTCAAAAATTTTTCTTATTTTTTTATGGCAGATAATTTGCCATTTATTTATATTAGGTTTTACTGCCTATTGAGACAACCAGGTGCATAATTGATTGCCCTCTGGCCATAAAAATGCAGTATCATGGACTCTTAGAACTAAAAAGGACTGTAAAAAGTACCCAGAACAGCCTCCTCAGACTTAACCTTCTGCAAGTTATATCTGTATATAAGAAGATTCTAATTGATAACTGTTTATACTTTTCTGAATAAAATAATTGTTTCTAATTAAAAAGTAGCCAAGCTAAGATGCTTGGCTAGGCTTCTGAGGAATTAATACACGTGTGTGTGTGTGTGTGTGTGTGTGTGTGTAGGTACATATATAGTTGACGCTTGAACAATGCAGGTGATGGGGTGCTGACCCGCCCCTCGCACAGTCAGAAATCTGCATATAACTTGTGATTCCCCGAAGTCTTAATTACTAGTAGCCTGTTACTGACTGGGAGCCTTACTGATGTATTATATATATATATTGTATACTGTATTCTTAAAAGAAAATATTACTTAGAAAATCGTAAGAGAAAATACATTTACTGTATTTATCCATACTATAAGTGTATGTCATCTGTTTATAAAATGAATTGTCTGTCTGGAGTGGCAGGCAACCATAGCTGCAGACCTCAACATGATACCTATCAAGCAATCAGCTTTTTCTTGTAATGTCATCACTTTTCTCTGCTTTTTGGGAGCATTGTGATATGCAGTTGACTAGGGCGATGAATTGTTCATGCACTGGTGATTAGTGTCACACAGCATTTGAAGTGCATACTCACAACACTTGAGCTCACTGCAGTAGCAACAAGAGGTGGCTGTGAAATTATTTCACTAATATACTGTGCATTACAGTTCATTTTATGCAGCTGTGATTTAATGCTGCATCTTTACACTTTTTTTACGTTTCTCTCAAAACTGTGAATTGTACCATGTATGATCTGTATTTGTATGTGTTAATTTTGATAAAATAATAGATTTGCCTGTATTTTGTGGCAGTAAATGATAAAATATTCTAGTATCTACATATATTTTATGCATTCATGATATAACTGCTTTTTTCCTAATTTTTTTCATCTGAAACTTTTCTCATTGTTTCAAATCTCCAAAAATTTTTCCAATATATTTATTGAAAAAAATCTGGGCTGGGTGCAGTGGCTCACACCTGTAATCCCAGCACTTTGGGAGGTGGGCGGATCATGTGGTCAGGAGTTGAAGACCAGCCTGGCCAACATGGTGAAACCCCATCTCTACTAAAAATACAAAAAACTAGCCGGGCGTGTTGGCAGGCACTTGTAATCCCAGCTACTCAGGAGGCTGAGGCAGGAGAATCGCTTGAACCCAGCAGGCGGAGATTGCAGTTAGCCAAGACTGTGCCACCATTACTCCAGCCTGGGCAACACAGCGAGACTCCATCTCCAAAATAATAATAGTAAAAGAAATCTGTACAAAAGTGGAGCCATGTGGTTCAAACCCATGTTTTTCAATGAATTGTCTACTGTATATCTTAATGTTAAGGATTTGGGGAAGTAGGAATGTTCTAGGAAAAGATATTAACAGATACCTGTGGGTCTGGGCTTTTCTTTTGGGGAAGTTTATAAATGACTAAATCATACTCCTTGTTATAGGCCTGTTTAGATGTTCTGTATCTTCTTCAGACAGTTTTGCTTTTTATCCTTTTTGTTGTTATTAATCCCAAAGACTTAAAACAATGGTTTCTATCTGTCTGTGAATTTGGTCATTTCAGCCAAGTTACTGTGTTGTGGGGCCACCATTTTCTTTTCAGGCTCAGAGCTGCAGTTCTTGTGGCGTGGCGATTTGTGTCCCAAACCACAAGTCTTAATGTTCTTGAGCATAACACAGTCACTGAAGGGAAGTAAGGAATGCAGTGGTGTTATTTGTCGGGCAGAATAAATAAGTGAATTTTGGCATAGAGTTTCTGAAGGCATAACTATGAAAGGCAAGAGAATAGGCAGGCAGGATAATGTGTTCTAGGTGCTTTCCAAGGAGTCAGTGTTGTTTAGGCAGCTATTTCTGCCACCAGGGAGAGGAGTTAATTCTTGAAAAATAATTTAATTTTTATGAGAACAGAGGTTGAATCAATGTTGTTCTTAGAGTTGCTCATCAGAACATAAATGTCACTTTCTAGTAACATTTTTGATGGTTTCCAAACCAAAACAAGTTCCAGGAGGGCATTCTAGATGTATACATCATTAATAATTCCTCTTATGTTAAAAGTTGCTGTTTTCCCATAGCTTTGCCACCATTTATAATTCAAAAGCCTGATAGTGCTAGGGAATGTAAAGATGTTTCTGTCTGCTAAGTGTTATGCAAATCAAAGAGAAGGGGAACTTTTATGATAAAGTGACATGTACAGAACCTAGCTAAGTTACAACTTTTGGTCAAAATACTTGAAACTCTTTAACCCTAAAAGTTTAAGGTCAACAGGTGCATTATAAAGTAAATTTTAGGCCAAGCACATTTCTAGTCATTAAGTCAGTATTCGTTGCCTTAGCCATTGGCTGTATATAATCCTTAATATAAAAACTATTTAATGACTAATATCTCTTGCATATTGTGAAGTAAGTTACCTGCAGAAATTCTGTAGTACCATAAAGAAAAGCCTTTTGAGATTGCAGTGAGCTGAGATTGTGTCATGGCACTCCAGTCTGGGCAACAGAGCGAGACTCCATTTAAAAAAAAAAAGGCTCTTGAATTGTTTATTGGGAGTAAAACATTTAGGCTTTTTTTTTTAATGTATATATCCATCCACTTAGGGAAAATATGCTTAACAATTTTGAAATTCACTGGCTGGAAGCTAGGTGCTTTGTATATTTGGCATTAAATTGTTTCTCAATGGCAAATGTCATAAATCATATCTCATTCTAAAGAAATCTAGCAAATCTCTAGCACAGATCTAGGACAGTGCCCAGGAAAGCAATGGTATCTGTTGGTAGGTACAGGACTATATATAGGACTCTATTCACTTATCAACTGTAAATGATGAGCCTGCTCAATGCAGCCTTTTCAGGCCAGGTTAGTCTTCAGAAAGAGAGGGAGGCTGTGAGCAGAAGCTTAATGAAGAAACCACATGGGCTTACAGGTACCATCTGCAATCCAACCCCATTCCTCATAATTTAGGATCCTAAGTTTGAGATGGGGCTAAGGTTCTTAAAGGTAGTATCACCATATATTCAAGTCCTTTCTCTTTATTTCTGAGGTTTTTGGGATCCAAGCAGCCGTGGTATGTTTTTAGAACATAGTACACATTGTGTAACAGTCACTGAGCCCAACTCTTATATAGGGCCTCACAGTGTTGCCCTTGTGTATCCCTTCCCCTTGAGTATGGGGTCGGACCTAGTGACTGGCTTCTAGTGAACAGAATACAGCAAATGTAACGGGCTGTCTCTTCCAAGATTACGTTATAAAGCACTGAATTCTACTGTGTTCACACTCTGGCTCTTCATGCTTGCTTGCTTGTTCTGATGAACCAAGCTGCCATGTTGTGAGATTCCCTAAAGCGAGGCCTACATGGTGAGGAACCGAGTGGCAGTCTCCAGACAATAGCCAGTGAGGAGCCATGGCCCGCAGTCTTAACAGCCTGCAAGAAACCGAATCCTGCTGACTGCTGCTTGAGTGAGCTTGAAAGCAGATTCATCCCCAGTTGAGCCAGAAGACCCCACTGAGCTGTGCCTGATTCCTGACTCAAGCTATGAGATCATAAATGTTTATTGTTTTAAGCCACTGTTTTGGGGTGGTTTATGATATAGCAACACATAACTAATACAGCTTCTATAGAGCAAATTACCTAACCTTTTCCTTATTTATAAAATGGGTAGAATAGCACCTACCCACACAGTTATTGTGAAGTGCTTAAAGTTACTACTGTTACTGCATCTATTTAATCTCATTAAGTCTGCAATAATATGCACAAAGAGGCATAAAGACATTATTTAAGACATTTCATCTATTCGGTAGATTCATGAATTACTTTTGATAGATTGGTGCCAACAGGAATTATCAATCTTTGAGAGCTATTCCATAGTTTTCAGAATTGTCTAGCTAGAGATGCAGACTGTACACTTCTGAGTTTGGGCTAACTTCTGAAAGTCGCTGCCGAGAACTGAAATAAACTATGTCCTAATTTAGTGGTTCCCAGAGTGTAGTCCAAAACTGCAATATTAAAATATATGTTTGGGGTTGATTACTGTTCCCTGAAAATTCATGTCCACCTGGATTCTGTGAATGTGACCTTATTTGGAAATAGAGTCTTTACAAATGTAGTTAGTTAAGATGAGGTTAGATTAGGGAGGATGAGAATGTTGTATCAGCAGAAACACTGACAGCTTGGACTGAAGGAGAGAGAGAGAGAGTACAAAATGAAGAAAGGCTGTCAGATTTCTGGAATTCTGTAAGCAGGAAACGGGCTGCCCAGAGGGTAGGACTGTTGCAGAGGGCCGAAGCTGAGGGCTCAGAGGGTGGGGCCAGTGGAGTCTTTGAGGGCCTAGAGGCTGGGATTGGTGGAGCCTCCATGGGCATACAGGGCAGATGGTGCCACCTATTCTCAGTCCTTGGAGTCTAATGGAATTTGCTCTTCTGGGTTGCAAAGTTGCTGTAGACCAGTGACTCCTTTATTTCTTCCGTCTTCTCCCTTTTGGCATGGGAATTCGCATCCTGTGGTGGTCCCACCATTGTATTCTGGAAGCTGGTAACTTGTTTTTCAGTTTCATAGGTCTATAGATGGAAAGGAGGCCAGGACAGTTCATGCTCAGAGCCTCACCCATACCTCATTTAGATGATGAGCTTTGAGACTTTTTGAGTTGGTGATCTTTAGATGAGACTTTAGAGTTAATGCAGGAATGGATTAAGTCTTTGGGGAATATTGGGACGGAGGACTGCATTTTGCACCTGGGGTGAACATGAATTTTGAGGGACCAGAGGGCAGGCTGTACTGGGTTTGGCCCTCCAAAATTCATGTCTAGTAGAACCTGTGAGTGACCTTATTTGTAAATAGAGTCTTTACAGATGTAATCAAGTTAAGATTAGGTCATTCAGGATTAGGGTAGCCCCTAAATCCAATGAGAGAGGCACACAGAGAAATACATGAGGAAGACTGCCCTGTGAAGACAGAGGTAGATGTTGGAGTGATGCCACTACAAGCCAAGGAATGCCAGGGATTCCTGGCAACCACCAGAAATGAGGAGAGATGCGTAGAACAGATTATTCCTCCAGAAGGAACCAATCCTGCTGACACCTTGATTTTGGACTTCTCTCCCTCTAAACTGTGAGAGAATAAATATCTGTTTCTTTAAGCCACCTGGTTTGTGGTACTTTGTTACGGCACCCCAAGGAAATTAATACAATATGTTATTTGCCTTTTTTTCTTATTCTCACTTAGGCATAGAGCTGAGTTTTCCAGAGGGTATATGATGTGTGAATGATAACAGTTTGAATACAGAGCAGATGTGAGAATCCAGTTATGTTCTACTAAGTCAGACATTAAAGAGATTTGCAAAAATAGAAAACAATACTACCTTTATTACGTTTGTTTTCGAAAAGTTATTTTTCATTAAAAATGTCATTTATATGAATAAACTGGGTTTATTATTTTTAAATTTTTAAAATTTTCCCAGTTTTCTTACTTGGTAAATATTGATATCACTCACATAAAAGCTCTTTGAGATCATCAATCATTTTTAAGACAATAAAAGGAGTCTTGAGTCTAAAAAGTTTGAAAAACACTGGTTTAATTGTAAATTCTCAAGTTCAAGGGCACCTTGGTGTTTGTGTCTGTGCTGCTACTTTTTAGAGAGTAAGATCAACTTTATCTGAACAATGAAATCACTGCTTAAAAGAATGGACTTTAGAATCACATTGAAGTAGTTTAGATTTTTACTTCTTCCACTTAAGAAGTAAGCAAACTATCTGAACCCCTGTTTTCTTATTTATAAAGTGGGAAAAACTGTCTTCTAGATAGCATGAGGATTAGATTTTACAATATATATAAAGGAGTAACTAGTATGGTTATTTAAACAAATATTTTCATTCATTCAGGATAGGTGGCTTATGGGTTTCTGACTATAAGGAGAGGGGAAGAAACCTGGGATCTAATACCTCAAATTTGAATGCTTGACAATCAAATTCCCATTTACTACTTACTGTACCTAATGTGGAGAAACTTTACGAGACATGAAGACTCCAAGTGTGGAGGAATGAATTGCAGAAGTTCTCTGGACCATTGGATTTTCTTTTCCCTGGGGAAAGTCTTTTGGTCGCTTATCATAATTGATGCCTGTTAAAACTGGTAAAATACTTGTTAAGGGCTGTGCTTTTCATGACCAAGTGATTTGCATATATAAACCGAAATAACTCTAGCAACATTAGTTCAACTTTAGGTACCCGTCTATCCAATGCAAATTCTACGTGCTCAGGCTTGGGGGTTAGAGGATGGATATGCCAATGTCTAGAATGTCTTCTGTTCTCCCTGATGTACATTTCTCTCCTAACTGCGACTGGCTTTCTATAAGGAGTCCATCAGCATGGTCCAAGCCCCAAAACCATATCTACATCAGATTTTGTGGTTTTTTTTTTTTTTTTTTTGGTGGGGAAAAAGACAGATCTTGGGAAATGGGCTATGAATGATCATTGTTGACACTGAAAGTAATGTCCAATGTAGATAAAATCTGATAAGATTTTTGCCCTTGCCGGGCGCGGTGGCCTCAAGCCTGTAATCCCAGCACTTTGGAAGGCCGAGACGGGCGGACACAAAGGTCAGGAGATCGAGACCATCCTGGCTAACATGGTGAAACCCCGTCTCTACTAAAAATACAAAAACAGCCGGGCGAGGTGGCGGGGCGCCTGTAGTCCCAGCTACTCGGGAGGCCTGAGGCAGGAGAATGGCGTAAAACCCCCGGGGGCGGAGCTTGCAGTGAGCTGAGGATCCGGCCACTGCACTCCAGCCTGGACAAAAGAGACTCCGTCTCAAAAAAAAAAAAAAAAAAAGATTTTTTGCCCTTTATCTGTGTCTGACAGTTTCTCTCTAATCTGTAAGCAGGGAAATAGAAAATTTATTATAAATACAAATGATTTCATTGCTATGATCAGCAGCATCTAGGTATTTGCATCTAATAACCTGTGTGGAGAGGGTAAGGGCACTTGATTTAGTTCCCAGAGGAAGAAACTAGTTCCTTGGCTAGTTTCCTTCTATCACAATGGAAAAACCCTGTCATCACTACTCAAAAAAAGGAAAGGAAAAAGGAAGGGAAAGAAGGTGAGAGGAAGGGAGACTTTCCCAGGGAGGACTTTCCTTTCCTACTTTATATTTTGCTCCATTGTACTTACTGCCATCATTGTTTATGGTTTACTTACTTTGTGTATTGTCTGTCCTCCCACTGGAATGTGAGCTACATAAAGGCAGGGGTTTCTGCATCTTTGAAAGCATAAATGAACGAATGAACTACACTTCATTTATTGACATCAGTGCTATCTCACACAAGTTCCTTGAACTTTCTCCTTCACCTCGAAATGTCTGAATCCTTAGCTATCTTCAGCTTCTCCCTTGCCAAGACTAACCCTTCAGCTCTGTTTTTTTTTTTATTATTATTATTCTTTTGCCCTGTTTTGGATACTGCAGTTTCAATTACTTCTATGCATTCATATTTTTAATATACCTCTTCTGCTCCATTCTCTTCAACCTACAAACACATAGGTCTACACTAAACTGAAAATCCTTCCTATATTCTGTTGCATCCTTGAGGTACCATGTTTTCTTGCTCTTTCCTTTAATAAATTTTCTTGAAAGAATATCCATAACTAATGTTTCTGTTTTCTTAATACAGTCATTCTCTACCTTTTGCAATTTAGTTTTTGTTCCCACCAAATTTAACACTTTAAATCTGAGTTTTCTTGGACATTTCAATAGCGTCTGTCAATTGTGTGCATGTTTTCCTTGAAATTCTTCCTAAGGCTTCTGAAGTATTTCATCATTTTCTAATTGCTGCTTCTGTCTCCACTGGCTCCTCTTCCTCCTGTTCCCTAAACCGACTCCAGATTTCTGCTCTTTGCCCATACGTTCAGCCATCACCTCTGTGTAAACAATGCTTAAAATTATTATATCTCCAATTCTGACTTCTCAGTTGAGATCTAATATTACATATCCATGATTCATTACCTCAGCCCAAAACTTTGAAGTTGAACTCTATGTCCTCTTTCTTCCATCCATCAATGACTTCTACCTCAGATTTTGCAGTTTCCTTCCCCCACCATGTCTTTCATTCATATCCCTCTTTTATGTTGACTGTTCCCCCATTCCCACAGTTCTTGTGCTTACACATGGCCCATTCAGGTAGACTTCTAATGGTTCTTTTACACATCCAGTTGTTCCCCTTCAACATGTCCTGCACAATAACACTGGATTCATCTTAATAAGGATATGCTGATCATATCACCCACAGAGTCAGGAATCTGCAGTGGTTCACTGCTGCTTAAATAATAAAATCCAAGCCAAGGATTTAAGATCTTTCATAACTTGACTCCAACCTACTTTCCCACTATATTCCTAATACTCAAGCTCTTGGCAAGTTGAACTCCCTGCCAATCATCCCAAACACCTGGAGCTTTCCTGTTGCCATGGTTTGTTCATTCTTTGTACTTAAAGTTCCTGTCAATCAAGTTTCCACATTCTATAAGATCCAGCTCAAATATCAAATAAATATAGAACTATAACACAAGCAGCACACAGTTCATGCCACTGGAGAAAGTACAAAACAGAAATAAAATGTGAAGACTTTATTTCTGCTACTGGATTATATAATGCCTTTTAAGACAGGGTCCATTTATCCATTTTTATGTATGATAAACTATTTCATACAGTACCATGGAGGTAATAGGTACTTGATATATGTCTAATATCTGTGTGGCTGGAGACACTGATATGGAGGAATGCATGCATAATTCAGTGAATACCCAACCTTTATAATAAGAAGGTATCTCCTATCCTTCTATAAAATTACAATTTTTTGTGATACAGACTTGCCGTTTTGTTATTCTGTCTGATATTCCATAGATAGCCAATAACATTTACATTTATTCAGCTTGAAGTTACTGTACATATACTGTGTGTCAGGTATTTTTTTAGATTTGGCTAGGTGCTTTCAAAGATGGATGAAGATACCCTTTGTCTTAATAAATTTAACTCTGATTTTGAAGATAGAATTAATAAAGTAGAGATGCATTTTGACTTCCATGTTTTCCTCACTCGTGTAATTTCTGCACTATATATGATTACTCAAGTTGAACATTAAAGGATATTTGCTTCCACAGGTAGGAACAGAACCTCATGCTCAGTCATAATTTCAATATTGTGAGAGATGTGTGCTGATCCCCTGGCCCCATCCTCTCCAACAGCCATGGCAAATAACTCTATATTCAGTTCTGTCTGCAAACCAGCTGCCACCTGTAAGACACAAGGTAGCTTTAGGACCAGACAACTCTCAGTTCAAACCTTGCTTTTAATATGAATTTGAGCAAGTTATTTAAACTCTCTTACCTTTGGTTTCTTCATCTATAAATTTTGCACTAATAAATGGTAGTTATTAAAAGCATTTAGCAGAATTACTTCATAATGAAGATAGAATTCCATTAAGTAAAGGGGACCCAGGGTAAATTGTTGAAGGGGCAAACCAGGTGCTATTTAGGAAAAAGCATAAGGAAGCTAAATGCCAGGTTATTGGAAGTAGAACTGAAGGCAAAATTTTGCAATACTCCTAATTGTGTTAGTTTTTGAATGTCGGTAGTGACTTTCAGTAGTGAAATCTGCAATAGGGGCTACTTCAGATAAAGATCAATTTAATCTAATATAAATATAAATCAGGAGGCTGAGGCAGGAGAATTGCTTGAACCCAGGAGGCGGAGGTTGCAGGGAGCCAAGATCGTGCCACTACACTCCAGTCTGGCGACAGAGCAAAACTCCGTCTCAAAAAAAATAAATAAATAAAAAATAAAGAAAGAAAAAGAAAAAATTCACCTAACGGACTTGGTGACTATCATAACTTTCCTACCCTGTTTCTTGCAGGGGTGTCCACAATTTTGGCCTCCCTGGGCCACATTAGAAGGAGGAGGATTGTCTTGGGTCACACACAAAATATACTAACAGTAACGACAGGTGATGAGCTTAAAAAAATCGCAAAACAATCTCATCATGTTTTAAGAAAGTCTAGGGATTTGTGTTGGGCTGCATTCAAAGCCGTCCCGGGCCATGGGTTGGAAAAACGTGACTTTAGGGTATTCCTAATGTAGGCTGCATAAAATAATGAAGCCAGTAGAGGGAGACAAAATTAGTTGAAATGCCCAACTGCTTAGTTCTGAAAACCCATGGAAGAGGATTGTACCAACAAAGAAGAAACCTGATACAGAAGGAAGAAGGAACACAGCAAGGCACGGGCATCTTGCCTTGTTCCTTGAAAAGAACACTAGCCAGCAAAGAGAGAGCTATTTATGTTTCTAAGTTGCCTCTCCAGGAGGTGGGTTAAAAAGCAGACTTGGGAATAGTTATCTGGAAAAAAAATAAATCTGAAACGACTACATGAAAAGCAATCAGATACAAATGGAATGTTTTCTTCAATATAATTTTATAAATAGTAGAATTGAAAAAGGTTTCCGTTTTTTCAACAATGTATTTGTGAGCGTATGCATGCTGGAGGATATCCAGCAGCAGACCCTTCTCCTCCAAGTCCAGCAGTTGGAGCAGGGCTGGGTCATGATGAAATTCAGCATGAGGAGAGCTGGAACACAGCCATCATACAGGTTTGCCCAGGCTTTGAGCAGATTCATTTAGTGTTGGCAACTAACCAAGCCGAACAGTGGTTAGATTTACATATGGGGAAGTCTACAGATTATATTTTTTGCCAGAGCCAAAACCTACTATCAAAGCCTGTTGTCAAACTAAAAAAACCTTATAGTATAGAGTGAGCTTCAAAGACTACATGCTGGGGTTTTAGGACTTATAAAGGTTGACCCAACAGCTATTTTGGCTTTTGGCATAATCCCTACTTTAAATTAAAATAAGATTTGCTAACTTCCCAGAACAGTGGAAGAAGGGCTTGTTTTGATTTTTGTCTTTTGCCTTATGTTGTGAAGGTTCTGAAATCTTGACACAGTACAGTGGTGAATTACTTCAGGCCAGTACTTGTGAATTAGTGGATATAATCCCAAAATGTTTCTGTTTGGAGTTTCAGCCTGTATAATACTGTTTTCTGTAGAGCATATTACAGCTAGAAGGGGGCTAAGAAATAATCTGGTCTGAACTTTACAGATGAGGAAAACAAGGCTCAGAGCATTAACTGAACTGCTTGATGGCACAGTCGTGACAATAAGTCAACTGGCTTTGCGCTATCCCAAACCAACCCTTCTGTGTGAGCCTATGACTGAGGATGCTTTAAGAGCTTCAGACTCAGGGAGCATTGGGTGCTTGTTAACAGGACTGGATCCTTTTGTGCACTGTTCTCATAGGCCCATGCGCTCTTCCCATCTGTGATGAGTGGGTCACGCGTCTGCCAGACCAACTCACTTCATTCTGTCACTGAATCACACCTCTCTCGAGTACCCACTATGTGCCTGGCTCTGTGAGCGTCTCATGTGTCTTACTCATTTTTAACATCCTCTGTGCCCTGGCCACTTTCAATGGCATATGGGAGGAACTCAAAATTTGCTGAGTGAAGTATGAAGTAAAAGGCATGTTAAAGCAGCCAGATGATGCACTGATAAAGACTTACAAATGTGACTATTATATTTTAGGATGAACTTACGTTTACATCATCCTATATTTCTGAAATTATAATTTAAAGTGAGAATATGCTATTAATATGCATATTTTTTACTAAACATGCCATTTTGGGGGATGTATCAAAGTCAGAATAGGTTGACATTTTTTATTTTGTATTTTCAGAGATCTTTGGAGAAATGAGGCAACTTATGAGTTTAATAAATATGATTTCTTGGCTGGGTGTGGTGGTTCATGCATGGAATCCTGGCACTTTGAGAGGCCAAGGCAGGTGGATAACAAGGTCAAGAGTTCGAGACCAGCCTGACTAACATGGTGAAACCCTGTCTCTACTAAAAATACAAAAATTAGCCAGGTGTGGTGGCATGCACCTGTAACCCCAGCTACTCAGGAGGCTGAGGGAGGAGAAGCGCCTGCACCCGGGAGGCAGAGGTTGCAGTGAGCTAAGATCACGCCATTGCACTCCAGCCTGGGCAACAGAGTGAGACTCTGTCTCAAAATAAAAATAAATAAATAAACAAACAAGCAAATATGATTTCTTAATATAGCATTAAATAATATTCTCTGGCAAATACCAAGAGAGCAAACCAGATTTACATAAAATATAAAGAATGGAATAATTATTTTTCAGTTTGCATAAGGATTTACTTTTTAAAACGGTAGTTTTATACAATGGTACATAACTGTAATATTGGGACAAGTGAGGTGAGCTTCAGAATTGTTTCCATAGCTGGCAGTTTAACTCTGTTTATGCATAGGATCGGTCTCATGGTTACCACATGGAATGAATGCCATCAAGCCACATACTGTATCACTACCAGAAATCTTTTGCTTATGATATTAAAAACATTAGACTTATACATAGTTTAAAATGAATGGGCAGAATGATTTCAAAGCCCACTTCACTGGAAACCTATACATATTCATTTACATGCACGCAAGGACACACAACAGATGACATAGGACTTACGGGTCCAGGTTTGTAAGTCACTTTCAGTCCTGTGCTGGGTGGGGGCTGCTTTACTTTAAACCTACAAGGCAGCAAGATGAAAATAAATTGATGCCATAATGAAAAACAGGAGCAATGAATAAGCTGGGATGTTATAAAATAAGGAAGGTGTTAATACTTGCTACACAGGAGCCGGGGGTCCATACCATTAAAAAAACAACTTTAATATTCAGTTGGGAGAAGAATCTGGGGCCCATTTCACTACTGCCTTTCCAACAGTTTTCATCAGCATAAAACGGGCTCCAACCTGAATTTCAACCCTTCGTTACTGGTTGCTGACGAGCAGCCCAGGCTTGGGCAGTGGGACTGTTTGGCTGGTGTGTGCATTTCAGCGTAGCTGCCAGCATGAACGCAAATGCTGGCAGCCGGGTCGTTAAGTTGAAGAATAAAGGCTCTTTTGGAAGGCAGTGGAGCATGGGAGCCAGCCTTGCTCTATCTTGGTATGGGGTTTGCATGTTTGAGGAGAGGAGAAACAGAAAGGCTCAGAAAATGTCGAAGAACTTGAAAAGCTCTGAGCTCACACATGGTGCTTATTGATCTCTCTCCCTTCCTGTGGTTTGTGGGTTCTGCTTGAAGGTTAAAGACCTGGAGTAAATTAAAATGCCAAGGAAAGCCTACCTCCACTCTGACCCCAACACTGCTTCTTCCTCCATCAACCTTGCTGTCTGCTCTATCGTGGCTGAATTAACAAGCTGAGGAGTGAAATCTCCAAAACTAAAATTTTATACTGGAGCGACAGGACCCGCACGAATGAGTTTTATTAGTTTGAGGTTGACTCTCTATTTCTCCCCACCCACCTTGTTGGCAACAACCTAAAAAATAATAATGTGTGATTTGGTGGCCTGAGTTCCACATCAGATTGTTTCTCAGGAAGCAAAGGTCATTCCTGAAGCTGGGGATTTGCCTCAACTGAAACAACTGAAATAGGACAGGGATCTTTCAAACTGGATGCTTCTATCATTTTGTCTTATCTGATTTCCAATCATCAATCAGAATCACAAACACTTGTGAAGGACTTACCACTGAACTCTGAAAATGACTGCAACTGAAATAAACATATATTCCATTTTAATGGAAGTAATACACATGCTTATGTTTAAGATAGAATAGTGGACATTTTGTACTTGGGAATGGTTTGGTAGAGGTATACGGTTTATTGATCCAATGGAAAGGTTTGAAATTTCACACAAAAGTATTAGTAAAGCAAGGCATATGGTGGGACTCAGGAGATCTGAAATTTGGCCTCTGCTAACCTACAAGATGTTAAAACAAGTTACACAGTTTCTCCTTTTATAGTAGTCTCATAAGGTTTTTCCCTCCATTATGCAGAAACAATGTAATTAAAAGTGCTTTTCAGATCATACTGTGCAAACAAACATCAGCTGGTATTATTATAGTTAGTGGATTTGAGAAAAAGACTTTCAATTATAGTGCATTAGTAGCTGTAACACTTGTACAACCTCCTCCTTTTTTTCCACTAGTGGAGATCAGGATGTGAGTTGCTTTTACCAAAGTATGAATAATGATGAATAGGAGGGCAAGGAAGTATCTACCATATAATTGGAGCCCGATAAACACTCACTGATTTGTTGATGAATGAATAAGTGTGTAAATGACTGAATGAATCATGTGAAGATTCAAGGAGTAATTATAGTTCGGTCCAATAAACATTTACTGATGGAGGTGACCAAAGACAAGTCACAGGGTAGGGAAAGGTAGGCAGACCTTTCGTCCCTTGGCCTCACCTGCAGAAGTCCACTCCAACATTCTTGAGCTTTACAACTGTGGCATAGGTATGTCCTTCCTTAAGCACTCCAAACTTCACTGATGACGGGAGAAGATGGAACCCAAAAGGGGATGACTGTGCATTATTAATGGCGGCAGATGCAATAGAGGATGTGTTCACTTTTCCTGCAACAGAATCTTGCACCTTTGCATTAAGGAAAAATTAATAAAATGGTTCTATTTTGAGTTCCCAAGATTAGAAAAAAAAAAAAAAAAGGCCCTGTCACCAGAGGAAAATAACTTTTTGGTTGCTGGAGGAAATGAATGTTTATAGTCTCATGTAATCCTTACAACAGCCGTGTAGGGAGGTATTTTAGGCTTTCTTTTAAGGATAAGGAAGTCAAGTTCAGAGAACTGAAAGATAATTGTTCAAGTGGTAAGTAGCATAGCAAAGATTCAGACTCAAGTTTGCCTGATTCGAGAGTTTGTGCTCTTCCATTTGTGCCAGTGGTCATCAAACATTAGCTTCCATCAGAATCTCCTGGAGGACTCATTAATAATAATACACAGATTGCTGACTTTACCCCCAGAGTTTTTCATTCTGTTGGTTGGGGGCAGGGCCCAAGAATTTGCATTTATAACAAGTTCTTAGTGTTGGCAATGCTGCTGGTCAGACAACCACACTTTGAGAACCATTGGTCTGTGCCCTTATTATTCCTCACATCAGCAGCGCTGACATCATCTCAGAGTTTGTTAGAACTGCAGAACCCCATGCCCTACACCAGACCTAGTGAGTCAGAATCTGAATTTTAATAAGATCCTGAGGTAATCCATAGGCACATTAAAGTTTGAGACGTACTGTAATTTTGTCAGTTATATATAACAATAAATTCTGTGATGGAGATGAACACAGTGTGCCACGGAAGAAAAAGAGACAATTATCAAAACTGGTGGACTCCAGAAGGTTTCCCAATAGAACTGGGTGGAATCTTAATCTTAGAGGCTCTGAGGAAGGAAGGAGCTTGGTATTTGTAAAGAATGAAATCTACAATGACTGAATTATAGTGAGTTTGACAGGGTGAGGGCGAAGAAGCAAATGGGGCCTTGTCCTCATGTTAAGTCATTTGGATTTTATCCTAAGAGTCATGGCAACGGTGGCCAATGATTCCTTTAGCCAGTAGTAGTATGCTGGTAAACTGGCTGTCTGAAAACAATTCTGATTTCTAGTGTTTACCAATTTTATGGTGCAAGTACTCCCAGCATGGCTGATTTCAAGCTATCAGTGGTTTGATAACTGGCTCATAAAATTTCTCCCAGGAGCCTGTATGAGCCAGCTCCATCAAAGCACTGCCTGTGTTTACATGTGTGAGATGTAAGTTTAAAGAGCTTCATGGTGAGATCAATAGCAATATCAATACGGTCAATAGCAGTACACAGTGGTTGGAAACTAATAACTTCAATGAATCAGAATTACATAAAATCTACAAAAGGAGCAGGATTGAAAAAAATAAAAAATAAAGAATTACATCAAATGCTGATTGGCTGTGGGGCATTTGTTCCCATGTTTGTTTTACCTTTGCAAGAGGTTGAGACTTAGGCTTGGAACTCAGCAAATAACGAGGCAACTTCACTTTTTCTTTTCTTGCTTGTCCCGCAACATCCTGCAGCAAGGACTGGGTTGGAATTTTCACAGGCTCATAAGATTCTGGTTCTGTTAGAGAGAAAGCTTAAATTATGCCACATGGACATTTTATTCAAAGACATTGGAAATAATATCAGAGTATATAAGAACATAAACCAACTTGGAAACTTTTCTTCTTTGCTTTTCAAAGAACTTATTTATTTTTATTTATTTTATTTAATTTCAATTTTTCTTTTAGATTTACTGCAGGTTTGTTACAAGGGTATAATGCATGATCACGCTGCACAAATAGTGAATATAGTACCCAATAGGATGTTTTTCAGCCTGCCTCCTCCCTTCCTCTCTCCTTTCGGAGTCCCCGCTGTCTTGTTCCCCTCTTTATGTCCACGAGTATCCAAGATTTAGCTTCTACCCAAGTGAGAACATGTGATTTTGGATTTTCTGTTTCTGCATTAATTTGCATAGAATAATGGCTTGTAGCTGCATCCACGTTGGTGCAAAGAACATGATTTCATTCTTTTTCATGGCTGCATAGTATTCCATGGTGTACATGGACTACATTTTAAAAATCCGAGGGCGGAGCAAGATGGCTGAATAGGAACAGCTCCAGTCTCCAACTCCCAGGCCGGCAGGCGCGGGCGCGGCGCGTCCAGTTGAAAATGCACGAAATCAACCAGTCTTCTTGTGGTCGCTCGCG